GAAAATGCAGTTGACGTTTTGGACAATTCTAAGGTGAATAATTAAAATGAAAGTTATATTACTTGTTGAATGTTAAGATAATAGTTTTGTATTATATTACTTAGATATTAGCCAAAGAAATAACTCGTAAACAAGCGGCTTCAGTGGAAACTGTTGCAGTTATTGATCAATTTCGTTTACAGTATAAACCAATAGCTGAACACTGTTCTATACTTTATTATTGCATTACAGATTTGCCAAATATTGATCCAATGTATCAATATTCATTATCTTGGTTTATAAATATTTTTATTATGACAATTGAAACGGCGTGAGTTAATATTTATTAAAATATATTATATTACACACACACACACACACATTACATTGATTTTATAACTATTTGTGCCTTTTATCTATATAAGAGTTGAGTGTATTAATATTTTTAAAGAGTACATCGTAAATTATTTATTTAGAAATAAATCAAAAATTATTCGGATACGCCTTGACGCTTTAAAAGAAACATTTACTTATAATTTATATGCCAACGTATGCCGGTCATTATTTGAAAAGGATAAGATGTTGTTTTCATTCATCATGTGCACTACAGTAATGCTGTGAGCGATAATTTTATTTTATTTCTTAATAGATTTTAATGATCGGTATGTGTTTATTGTTAAAGCGCTGAAAAAAAAATCGACAAGCAAGAACTAATGTTTCTTCTGATTGATAGTATTGGTCTTGAAAACAATATTCCTAATCCTGCGCCGAATTGGTTTCACGATAAAAGTTGGAATGAATTATGCCGTTTAGATAAATTAAATGCATACTATGGTACGTTATATCATTCTAGCATAGATTTTTAATATAAGGTTTTGATCTAATACTTTAATGCGTTATAAATATTTAATTATTTCAGGCATTAAAGATGATTTTATTAATAAGGTGGACGAGTGGAAAAAATACTACGATTCAAATGATCAGGGAATTTTAAAATTTCCTAATCCATGGTATGATAAATTAAGCGATTTTCAACGAATTCTTGTTGTACGTACAATTAGACCCGACAAGGTCATACCTGTTATAACCAAAGTTATTGAAATAGAATTAGGAGAAAAGTTCAATTACCCACCACCATTTGATATAAATAAATCTTATAGTGATTCAATTTGTCTCAGTCCACTTATATTTATCCTTTCACCTGGAGTAGATCCTATGGCGAGCTTGTTGCAGTTTGCCGATAAAATGGGTCAGATGGAAAGCCTACAAAGTGTTTCGTTGGGCCAGGGACAAGTTAATAGAATATAAGTACACTGATGATATAATTAATTAATTGTAAATATTCTAATATTAATTAAAGGGTCCTATAGCTGAATCGCTGATAAGAAACGCACAAAAAACGGGAGGTTGGGTATGTTTACAAAATTGTCATTTGGCTACTTCATGGATGGGGCAGTTGGAGGTTATTTGCGATTCGTTTGATATTTCCAACGTGAATAGTGAATTTAGATTGTGGCTTACCAGCTATCCTTCAGTCAAAGTAATATAATAATAATATTTTTTATGGTACCTATATTATAATAGTATAAAAACAATTAATTTTAGTTCCCTGTGTCTGTGCTACAAAACGGCGTTAAAATGACAAACGAGCCTCCGACGGGATTACAAGCTAATATGCTTCGGAGTTATCAATCGTACCTCGTAAAAGATAAGAACTTTTTTGAAGGATGTCCTGGTAAGGAACGGATATTCACTAAACTATTATATGGAATTACGTTTTTTCATGCCATCGTGCAAGAACGGAGAAAATTTGGTTCTATCGGATGGAATATACCTTATGAATTTAATGAATCAGATTATCATATTTCCATACAACAACTCCAAGTGCATATTTATTTAAAAATATAGTTTATGAGTTATTAATAAAATTATTTTTAGATGTATATTAATGAATTCGATGAAGTACCATTTGACGCCATAACATATTTAACGGGAGAATGTAATTACGGCGGTAGAATAACAGACGATTGGGACAGGCGTACAATGAATACGATTTTGAACAAATTTTGCTGTTCGCAAGTAGTCGAAAATCCATACTATTTATTTTGTGACGTTGATCAGAAATATGGAATTCCGTTTCGTTCCAACTATCATGATTTTATCAAACAAATTGAAGTATGTATAAAAAACTCTTTCGTTGGTAAATACGAGTCATAATTAAGAAAAAATTAATTATTTCTTCTAAAGGAAATTCCAGTTGACCACAGTCCAGAAGTGTTTGGTTTGCACAGTAACTCTGGAATCATCCGTGATCTTCAGGTCACAACATTATTGTTTAAGTCATTCGTAGCAGTAATGGAAACCAGTGGTGGAACAGATGATTCTGATACAACGGAAAATGCACTGATAGCAACTGTGTCCGATATACTTATAAAGCTTCCAAATAATTTTGATGTAGAGGCAGCAACAACAAAATACCCCGCTATGTACGCAGAATCTATGAATGTGGTCCTTATTCAAGAAATGGAACGTTTTAACTTACTATTATCTGTGATTCGTAAAAGTTTACAAGACCTGATAAAAGCTATCAAAGGCTCTATTGTTATGACGCCTGAACTGGAAACCATGGCCTTATCGTTATCCACGGGAAAATTACCAGTATTTTGGTTGAAGTTTTCTTATCCAAGTCTTAAATCCTTGGGTGGATATATAACTGATTTTATAGAACGACTCAATTTCTTGCAAGTAAGTCGTGTGTTTTAAATATTATATAACGTAAATGCTTATAACAATATTATAGTTAGAAAAAATTACGGTTTAAAATAAATGGAAATTAATTTGAAATATATAGTTCTTACTTTTTACAAAATTAATTCAATTATTTCTAAAAATAAAACATTAGATAGGTAATATAAAAACGTAGTTACTTTTATTTTATTATTAATCATTTGTTTCTTGTCTACGCATATTATTTTAAAATATTTTTTTTTTTAAAAAAGTGTTTTAATTTTGATAAATATTGATTTTAATTATTTGTATGTATCTATATTAATTTTTAATATTACACGTAAAAAATATTTTATGCTATTTGAATTTAAATTTACTTACCTAATAAATATTTTATTAAAAAAAAATACAAGTATATAGTACGCAACAACTAACATTGATAAGTATTTTATGCTTATTAGTTGTGAACAATATATACTAATAAAACTTATTTTCTAAAAAATTGGATTAAATATTCAATAATAAAACAAATTGTTATTTATCAAAAAGAAAAAAAAATTATTTTTATAATTTTATGTGCAAACTTGATTCGTTGTTAGAATCTATATTGTAATCATCTGTGCAAAGATAAATATAAATAATAAAAATGACAAGTTATAATAAAATATAACAATATTATGTTATTATATGCTAGCGCCTAGTTGATCCTGCACGGCGTTACACGTGACAGATTAAAATAATCTTGGTGGATTTATCCTGTCTTTATTCTGTTAAATTTAAGTATGTTATAATATTGCTTTTTATAAATATAGATAAATACTTGATTTTGATTTTTTATGATTATAACCTACGTTTTGATTAATAAATATTTATATTTGTATGACTATAAATCAAACATCTCTATACAAATAATAAAATTAAAAACAGATTATCAATTTAATTTTAATACAATTTTCTTGTTAGCAACTCTATTGTATAAATATGAGTATGAGTAAAATTGACGTTTTAAATAATTCAATGAAAATGTTCTTTTGAAATATAATTAGACAACGAAAAAACGAAAAATGACAAACCCTTAGACGTATAAACGGACATTAACTTTTTTCGAACGACTGGGGTGGTATATTATAAAATACATGTACGATACATGTATTGTAATTGATGGATAAGCAAAATATTTTGTAGATTAAACTGAAACTTAAACGTAGCCATGTAGGTATATAATGAAAATTTAGTATTTTCTTATTCAATGGCATTTCCGGGAACTTTTATTACCTGTTATATTTTCTCTCGTATTCTTGCAACGAAAAACAGAGGTTTTTCATGTGTAAATAATATTTAGATATACATGTATACATATATATATATACATTGTAATAAATGATTAATTTAAGGTACATATCATTCATTTTACTACATTGTCGAAGTATATTATTTATTTATCGACACATTGAAGTATAAAATTATTTGTTTTTTGTTTTGTCGATAACATTAAAAAAAAAAAATTATTTTAGATTTGGTACGACGAAGGTATACCCGATAAAGTCTGGCTCAGTGGATTTTTTTTTACTCAAGCATTTCTCACTGGGGTTTTGCAAAATTTTGCTCGACGTTATGCTGTACCTATATATCAATTGTGCTTTGATTTTCAAGTACAACACTCTGACACAGTCAACGAACTTACAGTGGACGGGGTGTATTGTTACGGTCTTTTTATAGACGGAGCTCGTTGGGATATGTCTAAGTACGTGTTGTAGAACGATTGAATTGAATTTGTATTGAAACATTAAGTCGTTTTAGATAGATATTATTAATCATCATATATTATAAAACTATATTACAGTATGATACGATTTAAATGAAATTTGTAGGATGGTACTGGAAGAACAATTGCCAAAAGTATTAACGAACGTGTTACCGTTAGTTCGGTTCACACCTACAAGGAAAGATGAGTTGATCAAAGGAAATAAATATACATGCCCTGTGTATAAGACATCGGAAAGAAGAGGAGTTTTGTCTACAACGGGACATTCTTCAAATTATGTTTTACCAATGTTTCTCGATACAGATCGAAAACCTTCTCATTGGATATACCGTGGAGTAGCTCTACTTTGTCAACTGAATGATTAAAATTGACATTCTTAGAATAAAAACAATGAATATTCACTGTACCCATGTTATATATTTTATAAATTTAATATTTGTAATTTCAGTCTTAAAAAAAGAAATATAATTATAATTGATTTTTTTTTTTTTATTATAAAATAAACACATTTTTTTACAAAATTTTTTTTTTATTTTAGTTTGTCAGAAGTTTTAAATATATTTGTATTAGTTTTTATTTGTTTTTCGTTTTCCATATTTTTAGCCGCCGCGTCAATTATCCATGGATATATGATGTATACAAACTTTTCTGGATCTCCAAGTCTTGGGGGTACAAGTCTCGCTGCACTTTCTTTAGTGAGAGTCTGTTTCTCGATTTCAGGTTTGAGTAATTTTACAATTTTTTTTAATAGATAATGAATTTGTTCATCATTTGGCTCTTTTTTAGATGGAGTTTGGGGATACATTTGATTGTACCAGAGTTCTGAATCTTCGATAGATCGTGGAGTGTTTAATGTTTCTTGGTTGTACGTTGTTTTACTAAATTTTGAATCATCGGAAATAGTAATAAAAGGTAATTTTTTTTGAACAGTGTTATATTGTTTTAATGGCGTTACTGTTGGTATAAATGTGCTTCTTTTCGTTCCTTCTGTAGTGACCGATAAGTAAGAAGTATCAATATTGTCGTCCTTGTGCGTATTTAATTTTTTAGTTACAGTTGGGATTTTTTGACTTTGGTAATTATTTGAATACATATTTATATCAGGTGACGTCGAAGATGATATAGTTGAATCGTCATGATGTCTTAGCATATTTGTGTTCTGTTTAATGCAATTTGTACATTTATTGGAATTCGTCGTGATGGGTGGAGTTTGTTCTGTTTTAGTTTCAACTAACACTGAAGTTTTGATATTGTTAATATTTAGTGGTTGAAGCATTGGGAGCAATAATGAAGTGTAGCGTAAACTTGTTGGTTGAATTTTATTGTTTTTATCGGTAATATATTTTGTGCGTGGTGATATGGTTGAAGAAAAATATTTGGGGTGCGGCTGTGACGATGTTGATATGTTAGTAGAATATGTCTTTGTGAAAGGCATCGTGGACGTTTCTGAAATCATAATAGGTATTGTTGATGGGCGTGTTGACGAACTATTTAAATCCGTAACGTTATGCTGTCCATTTATAATTTTTGTAAATTTCTGATCAAACGATTCATAATTTTTTAAGTCACTTACGATGTTTAATTTATTGTTTTTATCTAGTTTTGCTAGAGGTGTGTTGATAAGGGAGAATGTAGTTATTTTACAATCGTTATTTTCACATAACGGATTTGAAAATAGTGTAATTTTACTTGTTGACTGTGGCATAGAAAACGTATTTACGAATTTAGTATTTTGTGTTGTTCTTGTTGTTTCAGTTAATGTTTCTCCAATGTTAATTATTGGCGCTTTCAAAATACCAGTTATGTATTTGTCTTTCGAATAATAATGAAATTTTTGTGATTCATCCGGTCGGCTTCTTTCTTTGGAGGTCAACGTAACCTCCAGATTTTTGTCATCAGTAGTCGATGAAAACGTCGATTTAACCGAAGTTTCTAGTTGTTTGACATTCGACATAAAAGATGGCTCTCGTGTTGTAGGATGATCTGATGAATTAATATGCTTTAATAAATTATAATCAGAGTTCAATAAAAGCTGTGAGATTGAGTTGCTATATATTTTAGATTTACTCGTTTTGTTCGATATATTCAATGATGGAACAGTAGAAGTTTGATATGTTTCTGTTAAATTATATGTATTTAATGTCATAGATGTGTTAGAATCATCAGTAGTAGTTGTTGGTTGTAGATCTTGAATTTCGTGAGATTCACTCACTTGATTTTGATCTACGGTTACTGTGTTTGGAAGATTATCTACAACAATCTGGTCAAGTAATTTTCGATCGTTTTTTGAATTCTGCTGTTCACTTATGTTAACTTTTTTTTGATCAATTACCTTCGGTTCTTCCGGATCAAGTCCTATCGGTGACGTATGATTAAAATCATCTTGATTTTGGTTTGATATTTGTTCCGGGATATGTAATTCGTTGTCATATTTTTTGATCACTTCTTGGTTACTTGGAGGAATGAAATTTGGCGCATTCATTGTTTCTTTAATTTCAGGCTCATTATTTATTAGCGTTGAGCTCATAAATTTATGAAAGTTATTATAACCAATTGGGAATTGGGTTTGTAAAGGTCCTAAAAATCGATGGTGGAATTCTTCTTTTTGATACGGTATTTGTTCAACGGGAATTAGACGAGTTGTTGCATCATAAGTTAATGGAATATAATGCGAGTAAATTGATGGTTGATAAAATGGGTTGACGAGGAATGGAAACATTGACAAAGCTACGACATGCTCATGGTCTGACATAGGCATTTTAAAATTGTTCGTTTCACTCTTCTTTGCAATACGCTGTATATTTGTTGATCTGGTGGGTAACTGGTTATATTTTTTGTATTTATCAATATATTTTTCTAACCAAGCCCGGAGAATCTTTTCTTCAAATTCTGAAAAATAAATTGTAAGCTTATTTGAGAAATACTTTTGATAATTGTTATTGAAACTATTATAAACACGAATAATTTTATCAATATTAAAAATATGACATTTAAACGATATTACTAATGACACATATAATATTCTTTTACTATTTTCGTATAATATCATTAAAATGTAGACGGAACAATAATAATATGCAGTAAACATTTTATTGCAATCTTTAAATGCTATGCAATCATTTTTTTTTTCAAATAATTTCCAACTGTAAAATATATATATTTTAACGTTGGTTTTTATTTAATACAAATTTATTATACATTTGGTAATTATTTAATAAACTCAAATTTCTATAGAAATAATTAAAAAATATATTTTTAACTTATTAATTATATTTAAATGATAATTCAGACGAGAATAAAATAAATTAAATATATACAACTTTTTTATTATGTTTTAAGATGCTTTAAGAAAAGTAGGTAGTTGATAAACATTTAACTACTCCATTTATGATTTTATTAATAACACCTTTCAAATTTTTGACAGCAGTTATCTTTTACTATTTGACTACAATTTTCATATAATTTAATTTTCATGATCACATGGTATTTGAAGTAGGTAAATTTCTTGATATCATAAGCTTTGCTGAGTATAATTTACCTAATTTAAATGTTATAATTTCATTTAAAACTCTACCATATAATAATATATGGGTTATATGGGTTGGATTAACTTTAAAGTATGGATTGATTATTTGGAGTGTCAAATGTAGTAATATTGAAATCGTTATTCAATTGAAAATGTTTTGAAAAAAACATAATTGGTTTTGTAACACTTCATTTTAATTTTTTATTGAATTAAAATGTTATGAAAAACTATTAAAAAAAAACCTTTCTTAGAACAAAATGATAAAATGTTATGATAATAATTATTATTGTTTTTTTTTTTTATTTGAAAACTTTATTTTAATAAAATTTGTATAATTACATATGTTAACAAAGTTCTCTGTGAGTAAGTACCTACAGATGACAGGTGTAAAGATCCTTGTCCAACCAATTATTATTATTAAATATAAATAAGTATATTTTTAACGAAATATTTTTTGTCATAAACCTTGTTGTACATTATTCTTAATTGGATCTAGATTTTCCTTAAGTCAACGACACAACTGTTTCCATGTAAATTTCCTATGGTGAAGGGGGGGGGGGGTAAAGTTTTAGCTTTGGTATTGAAAATTGTTGCATTTTTCACAATATTATATAATTAACTATTACCTCAGAGTTTTCTAGAAATGCTATTTTGCCGTTGTCATTGATTAATGCTGTTATAATGTTAACATATCAACATACGTAATACACGGATGGTGTTGGATTTTTTCCAAATTCTCTAAGTGTGGTTCCTACATTTATTATAATTCAGTATTTTTTAGGCCTAACGAGTTTCCTACTCAGGTTTTATTAGTTCCTTCCTCTAATTAAATATTTGGATGCTTAAGTTTACATAATAGTACCTATATATATTATATTATACTACTATAGGATATCAGTGCGCGGAGCAATATAGATATAATCAGAATTTTAAGAGCAACGGTGTATAAACATTTGCATATTAAAATATTATGTATGAGATGAGAACATAAAAAAATGAAATATATTTGTTTGATTTTAGGAGAAAATGAGCAAGAAATCTGTATTTTTAATTTTACACAAAAAACAATTTGAGATAGAAATAAAAACTGTTCATAATATTTATTGTTAAAATTTAGAAAATAAATTTAATATGAAGCTAATATTATAAGTTGATATATTATTAGTCGATTGTGCAATCAGAATACAAAAATAAAGGTTTATTGTTAAAGTTTAATATAATTTTGCGATTTTAAAAGTTTTTTGGATGAGAAATAATGTTCTTATAGAAATATTTATTGTTAAAAAGTTAAAAATATTTTTAAAGCGATATGTTATTATTTAAAAAAAAATATATGTTTTAAAATTGAATATTTATGAAACCCTTATAGTTGTATATTTCAAAATTATAATACATTTTTAAAATTAATATTAATTGACATTTTTAAAATACTTAAGTATTCTTTTTCCGAACGTAGTAGATTAAATACTTTTAATACTTTAAGGTAAATAGATGGATATTGGTTAAATGATTGGAAAATGTCTGATGATTGTAGGGTTGTTAACACTTGCCAGTAGGTACCTCTACATAATTTATAGTACGAAATAATTGGATGCCTTTTAGCTACTAAAAAAACTAATTTAAAACGAATTAATATTCAGATTTAAGTCTTAAATTAAAACGAAAGCTTATTCTCAACAGAATAATACCTACAAGATGGATTTTTCAAATATACACTTATTTTATTTTTTTTTTTATTTTAATAAAATAAGAGTGTAATATACTATTACAGTCCTTTTTTGTGATGATAATATTTCAGGTGAAGTTTATTACACTAAATTTGTATTTTTGTGATTTTTTAGAATTTTTTATTATAAAAAGAAACAGATAAAAGTATAAAACAATAGAATATACTTCTTAAATTATATTTTCGTAATTAGATGTTATTAACATACAACAATATACAATACTTGTGTCTTACAAATATAAAATCATATTTTAAGAGGATTACGTTTTAAATAGTTCGTAGGATAAATAATATAATTAAGAGTTAGCACAGTATTATTGATTATCATTTTTATACACACAATAAAGAAAAGATAAAATACTAGAGAAAAAAAATACTAATTATACATATATTTATATACAAATATATATTTACGGATTTACTATATTTACATAAATAGGTTAACGAAATAGGGAGTAACATTTTTTTCTATGGTAAATAACTTTTTATTTTTAAATTTTATTTTGTATGATTTTTGTGATATTAAAATTATTTCATTTGAAGTACAAATCTGATATTTTTTGATTAGGTATCAAAGTGGAGGAAGCAAACATTGCTGAAATGAATGGATGAACTCTTATTACAATTTCTTTTATTAAATCTTATTTCATTATAACATTTTTTAGTCATACAAACATTCTTCGAACGTGATGATGTAAAGAAATGTCAACACTCAACATATTAATATATCCACTTGAAAAAAAATCTGATTTTACAATTATTTGAAATACAATTTTATTGTTATTTATATTAAATTACATTAATACAAAATGATTGCATTTTCAATGACATACCTATGTCATTAATATTAATATTCTATTAAATTAAAAGGTATAGGTGTGTATATTAAAAAAAAAAGTTGATTTTATTGATATCAATAAATCACGTACAAATAAATTTATTATTATTGAATCATTGTAGGTAGACTTTAAAATAACTTCCTGCAATGTATTTTTGTGTTTAACTTAATTTATTACTTTATAATTAGGTTTCTGGTTATAAAAATGTTGTAAAATAATTAAATTAAAAATATTTTATTATTTTCTTAATTTTTTTTTTTCGATTATTCCCTCAGAATTGTGATATTTAGTTTCTAAATATACAACTAAGAAACTTGGACCAAAATTAAATTAAAAAATACTAACGTTTCATTTAAGGCTTTAATTTTAATTTTTGCATGTTTTAAATTTTTTTATCCTTAAATAGATTTTGATGGTTCAAGAATATTATTAGTATGCCGAAATACTCACGATATTGATTGTTTCTATATTAATATATACGAGTACTTACATAAAATAAATTATTCATCGTTAACTTATTTGAATATTCTATGTAGATATAGAATTATATTATTGTTTTTGGATCATCAAATAGATTCACAATATATTGTGAATAGTCTATTATTAATAATTAATATGTTATAAATTTATTAGCCTAGAACTATTAATAACATATTCATGACATGATTATGAAAGATACTCATGTTAGCTTGTTTTGGATTACTTACGTTAGAACATTGGTAGAAAGTTGATAGCTTAATTAAGATTTTATAATGCTTTATTATTGTGCTATTATTATTATTATCCAGATTAAAATTTTTTTTTACTGCATCACGAACGTCTTAGTGATAGTTGGGTATGTAATCATATTTGTTTTTGAATGTAAATAATAAATATAGTTTGACATTTACCCTATTTATAATTTATAAAAGAAAAAAAAAGTTATTAACAAAGAAAATCAACAACATGACGTGTAATTTAATTAACTTTGATAAAATTGTCTATCAATTTTAATTTGATTTGTTAAAATATAAATCTGTTTAATTAATTTTCCGTAATATTATTTGTACGAAATATTTGATTGCATCTTCAGGTAAAATTTAATAATATTTCTTAAACAAACATAGAATTAAAAATTGTAGTTAAGTTTTAATTATTTTTATTGAAATTCTATTTGATACAAGTCTACAAAATGTTTCAATCGATGCATAGTATACGGTCTAATAGTTAAATCTAGAATAAAAGTCTATAGGTATGTAAATGTTGTGTTTTATTATTCCTTCTAATTAAATAATAGTCCTATATGAAATTAAAATACACAATTATTTTCAGTATTTTTAACCGTTGAACAATTGTAAAATCGATTATCTTTTTAGTGAGTTTGAGGGTTGGTTTAATTGAATTGTATTCTATTTAATTTAGCTTTAATAATGAGAAATAATTTATTGATTTGTTTAATTTGAAAACCTTCGTGTAAAATAGTTATACTATGGAGTCACAATTTTGTTTTTAAATGGTTTTACCTGTAAGTGTGTAGTTATGGTTAGTATGTAGTTTTGAACAGTTAATTTAGTTACCACAAAATATAGGTGTTTGTTTTTAATTTTACACATTTTTAGCGCTGATTATTGGATGGATCTCACGAAAGATCATTAAATTGGTTTTGTTATTTAAATGATTATGAAATCATTCAAACATTGACGTAATAATTTGATGAATATTAAACAATTATCAAATAAACAGATCAGTTAAGTTTGTATACTCATTGTCCATACATATAATTACTATTTGTTAAAGATTTGTATTCAATTATATTAAAATACAATACAGTACCTATACATATTGTTTATATATTAACCGGTGTATTTTAATATTATTTAGCATTTTAAGATAAAAATTTCGCTAGGACTTGGACCAATGTTTTAGTATTGTTCGATTGGAGATGTAATAATAAAACTTCAGTTTGAATAGCGAGTTCGTTAAATTCACTTACGGGGGATAATGATTTTAATTTTGTACTTGTAAAAGTAACCGTGTAACGAACCGATGCGTGTACACCTTGAAATAAAACAAATTTGATCTAACTGGAAATGTCATGGTTCAATTAGTTGTTACAATAAATAATTTTTAATTAATGATCACTATTCACCATTATAAAATTTTATTGATTTATTCAAAAATAAATGAAAACATATTTTTATTTATTACGTTTAAAATTATAAACTTTTCATAAATAATAATTTTGATACAATACTTACTTAGACTACTCCTAAAAAAGTCTATTAGATTTTGGAATTCGCACATGCGCAGAATATTCATAACTATATTTGTTGAATGTTCTAAACGGTTGAATTACATGAATATATTTTTAGTTTTGTCAAATTAATTATATTATAATAATAATATAATAATGTATACCCATAACAATCGATTTTTAAGATTTTATTACTTAATAAGTTAAAAACGTATTTTACAGTTTGTGAATTGAGCACTCGTGCATTAGTAACCATAACAGACTATAAGATATTGGGTACTATAGCGTAAAATTTTGCCATAGAATATGATTTAATTAGCTTATAGTGTTCATACACTACTTCAAATCGATTTTTAAAAACAATTTGATATATGCTAAAAAATTTTCCTTCAAGTTGTTTGAAAAATATTAAACAGTAGAAAAAAGAATGAGAACATCATTTGATTTTAAATATTATGATTAGTTCTAATGTTATTAATTGAATTGAATTAAAATAAACATACTTTATTAATTAGTATTTTTATTTGTTTTTTGCAATTAATTTTAGATCAACTGTAGGGTAAAGAATATATTGCTTTTACAATAATATGTGTATTTTTGTGTTTATAATCACTTTTTGTAGCAGTAAAAGTACTTATATAGTATAATATACTTTATATATTATTTCTTTTTGAAATATTTATAGACATTTGATACTTTTCGTTTTATGATGATAAATGATAATATTTGTCTTTTCAAATTTAAAAGCTTAGACAATAAATTCAAGGTTCGTCAAATACATTTTTTACAACAATTAAAGAATATCAAAAAAAGGTTTATTTAATAAGCATTTTAATTTTAAAAAAATTCACCGAAATTATGAGAATTTGTGAACACATTTTGTAGTTGAAAATTCATAACATTTTTAATTTTAATACCCAACACTTGTAAATATGATATACGATTTCTTATAAGTTTTTTTAATAGAATTAAAAAAAAAGTTCAGCGTAAGACTGCGTTATTTTTTATAAATAATAAAAGTTTAAACTGCGATGACATTGGATATTCAAATGTATTATAATGATTCAAACAATTTGTGTTTTATTACGATAATTCAATAAATGTTAAATGTAGAGTTGTAAGATATTTCCCGTTACATAAATTATAATTTTCATTGGATAATGCATTTTTTCTAAATTAATTTAAACTATTTACTTATTGGTTTTTGATATTTCTTAAATTTTTCATACATTTTAATAAAAATAATTTTATTATTTTTCATAAAAAAAGCTTGGAAATTTAGTACAAAGTTATTAATACGTTTTGTTTTACAGTTTATTTAAAATATCCAAAATAAATTAGGTATAGCTTTTTTTTCGAAGAAATTTGTATTTCTAATTTTTAGTAGATTGAATATTTGAACAAAATATTAAAAATTCTCTTCTTATGATTTTAGATATTTTATTGTAATTAAAATAATATTGATCTAAGAGCTTTGACAATTTTTCGCTATGACCTTAATTATTATTTTCTACGTAGGTATATAACATTTTTTAAATAATTTTTAGATTAATAATTTTTAGCTATTTTATACCATGAATCTATTTACGCCATTTTGAAGTACTTGGTATTGACTTCCAAGTTAAAAATAATAACAAGATATAATTTTATTTAATATAGGTGCTTAAAATATTAGGTAAATATAAGTTATTTATACTGTTTACCTAATAGAAGAAAAAAATACTGATATCCTTAAAAACACAGTTTCGGCTTAGTCGTTTTTCGTATGTAATGATTTAACATTAAGTTTAAATTTAACACGTCCATTATAATGGTCTGCTGTTCGAAACGGAAATCAAATTAACTTACGATGTCTAACTAATAACGATGTGAAACCTGCGGAGAAGGTAAAGTCGACGCACGCAAAGGCACCTGCAGCAATGGCTACGGGACTCACATTTTCGATTTCTACTATTTTTTTTTCGTTTGGCAGTAGGTAATACGAAATATCGCGTACGTGATTATCGCTTGAGGCTGCGATTTCACAAGACATATGAAGGCTGGAAAAACTTTAAGTCTCTACCCTACGAAACAAATTATCACTTTCCACACTATACCTAACATCTGCATCATAATCCATTCGCACGCTGACACAATGCGGCTCGCATACGATCTTCTATTTTAAATTCAATCTCATCGTTTATACCCTCCATTAGCCACCTTAAACATTCAACCAGGATTATGAACGTAATGGGTGCCTATAATACATTTATGCAATTTCTCCCTGAACCTCAATCAGTCATCCACTGACACTCCCCTTTTGCTCTCGAGATTTATAGAAAAATTTAAATAAATTGTTATTATACTAAGTTTTTATTTTTGATGTGTAATATTACGTTTTTCCTTAATTATTGAAAAAAGAGTTTATGCAATTTAAATTTTTAACCAAGCCGTACAAATCCATATTATTGGAGATAACGAAACATTTCGATTAAAGGTGAACTTTTTTTTAATAGACTGCAGAAAATACCCTTAAGTCCGAAACTACCGAAAAAGATGTTTGTTGAAACCACCGACGAGTTTTTAAATGTTTAATTAAAACTAAATTTGAGTTTTACTCATTAATTTCGATAGTTTTCTTATTCTAATTGTCTTATTAAGTTTATTCGCCGTATGATATTGATTTTATCACTCAGACAAATGCAATGCAATATTTGCAGGATAAAATATTACGCGTTGCACTGTTTTAAAAAAAAAAAAAAAATCAAAAGTTTTACAGAGAGTTTGATTATTATTTAATATCTTAGAGAAAAATTCCTTATCTCCATTATTTTCTAGTTTTTTTTTTTACAGTATTTTAATATTTGAGTGAATTATTATTTATTAATATTCACATTAATATTATGATTAAAAAATGCTAAACACTCGCTTCGAGTATTAAAATATTATGAAAGTTTAACTAAAGATAATAACTTAGTTAACATTCTCGCTTTTAAGTTTAATTTTAGGACGATTTGCTCTAATATTAAAGTTAACAATGCAATTTTAAAACTTTGGAACGAAAATTTTGTATATTGCAATTTTCAAGACACTGAAGTAATTATGCGGGTGTGATAACCATTTAATATGAACAACACATAGAAACGTATACTATATTCAGCCGTTCAGGTATTTTATATTATTTTTGATTACTCAAAGTAAATGAAAAAGTGTTGTGATCGAATGACACAGTGTCGTTGTATATCATAACATTTAGACTATTTTAATTTTTCAGGTTAGGTTAGAAAAGTACTCTTTACAGAGATTTGTGTCTCCAAGACTGAGTGACGGAAAAATACTAAGTTATATTCCTGTATAATTGTTCCTAGAATATAATATGTGGATTACGAAATTATGTATTTGGTCTTATTAATCACAAATTATGAACGACCTATAAATATATTTTTTTAGTTTCAAACTAGATATTCATGTATTTAGTAGTTATCGATTTCTATGTAATGTGAACAGTAAATAAATGATACCTATATTATGTATGTTAAACAAGTATTATACACTACGGGGTCAGTTATCGATAAATTTTTAAATTAACATTATTAAATTCAATATGCCTATAATAAAATTAATATTTATAAAGTTACCTATGGTTAATAGGAAAAATAGAAAAATCAATAATAATTAAGTACATTTTTCCAGTTAATATTTTTGTAGTAAGACATTTTTTTTATGATTCAATAAGATTTTTATAGTTTTTTTTTTTTTTTTTTGTTATGCACGATGGACCAGTATGTAGACGATAATACTTACTATTTACGAGTAGTATAATAACATTCATGTATTTAATAACATAAAAATATTTTTAAGTAGATACACAGTGAAAAATCTAAATTAAGTCTGGAAAAATTAGGCCATGATTACTAATAATAGGATTTAATTAGAGTTCTCTTCATAAAAAATGAAACTTGTGTTATTATTTTTCCTACATACTTAATTCCATACCTCATATTATTCATCAGTCTATGAAAGCCAAATATAACTATCAAGAACAGAATAACTAAATAGGAAGCATCACACTTATTTTAAAAGTATTGAAAACTGTTTGGGCTCCGTGTCTATAACTTTTATATTACAACTTGTATACACAAAATAATAAATACGAGTATATTACAGAATATAAATCAGGATAATATGAACCGTGTTCGAGGCGAGACTTGGATTATTTTAGCACCTAATATTTTTTTCTCGGAATAACGCAGTATTTCAATTTTTAAAATATTTTTTAATTATTTTTTTAATTTTAGTCATAGAAAAAAATGAAAAAATACATATTTGCAGGAAATTTATATTCAATACTCAGAGTGAAAAAAAAAACATAGAAAACGTGTAGGTACTCAAATATTTGTTTCAAAAAGACAATGTTTAAAATACGTGTTCAATTGCGGAACAAGCTTTGAGAGTGAGAATCGGCCGTCAAAAAGCACGGGCGAGTTAACGATGAAACTATATATACCCCGGTAACTGTATACCGGAAACCGTCGGCGTAGCACTCACCGTAAAAGTTGTCGCCGCCCTCGTTTTCGTCCGTCGTATCCCGTTGCCGTTCCGCGGCGACTGTCTCCAACAGCGTGTCGGACAACAGCATCGTCGCGACGGCTAACAGCAGCCGTATGGTCGTCGGTCGTCGCATCCGGAAAGGTCGACGGAAGAATGCGTGTTAGGAGCAGACGGAAGAACGTGTGTTAGATGTTGACGGATTAATGTATTGTTTTTTACCGTGGCGTGGCGTCCGCGCGTCAACCGATTAAATAATACAATGTACTATGCTATGATAATAACCGACACGTACGGACGAGCGCCCCGATTGCCGGTCTCGTCTGCTCGTCGCGTGGCGTAAAAAACTCGTGGACGTCAGCATTTTTTTTTATTTTTTATAGAATTGCTTTTCGTTTGCTGTTTTTTGTTTAACTGTAGGTTTTTATTATTATTTTTTTTTTATTTTACACACACACACACACACACACACATGCAATTGTTCGATCGAACGTTATACGCACTTGTATTCGCGTGATCGCGGGGACGGGACGAAATTTGAACTCATTTGCAACTAGCACGCGATTAATTCGACGATGTATATATAAACGTACATTATTGTTGTCGTTAACGTTATTTTTCTTTTCATTAGGTTTTTTGTTATTATTATTATTATTATTATTAATATTATTATTATTTTTTTTTTTTTTATAAATCTTACCGCGCAGCACACTATTACCTATACGTTTATATTGCACTATGAGCGGCTGCGGACGTTTTCCGTTTCCTTTTTTTGTTTTTTTTTTTTCGCGAAAAACAATATTGTTACCACTGAGTGTGTGTTCCACTTACGCTCGCCGCGTTTTGTCGTTTATTGTTCGTATATTCATGTATAGGTATCACAACCGTGTCAATAACTGTGTATAATATAATATTAGCAATATAGTTTCGAAACATCCAAATAAGTTTGCGGATTGTTTAGTACAACGGTTGCTAACCCATTTGCCGCTGCCCACTTGTGGGTCACCAGCAGCGTGATACTGGGCCGCGAACCATATAATATTAACATTACTAACATACCTTATATAGTATATATTTAAAATAATATTATTATATATTTTTTTACACAATTAACGCTATCTATCGAATGTTTGAATGTAGTTGTTTATTATTAATATTTAACTGTTATTTGTCATTTTTATTGTATTTTATCGTGCATGGTGTGAAACGTGTGCGAGTTGCACTAATATTACACTAAGAAACTTTATGAGCTTTTCGGCAACCTATCTGTGTGAACAAGCTTTTTCTACTTCAATTTTTATATAGAAATAAGCTAAATGATGAGAGTGATTTAAGGCTAAAACTATTCAGTTTTAATTCAGATATCGACTCTCTCGTGGGGGATAAGCAATATCAAAAATCATATTAAATTAATTAATTTGTGATTAAGTTGAATACAATTTTTTTTTTGAATAGACAATTGTTTTTTAAATTCTTTTATTTCTAATAACTAACGTATGAATATATGTGTGAGTGTAATATTCATACATTTATAGGTGTGCTATTAGTGGACCTTAAAGATTTTTTCACAAAATTGGTGGTCTGTACAACTAAAAAGATTGGGAACCGCTGGTTTAGTAAGTATATATTAAGATATGTGTCCAGATCGTTTACTAGTTAAAGGTTAAATTCTATTGTTATTTGAATACAATATATTATTGTTGTTTAAAAATTAAAATAAATTAATAAATTTAAATTTCTGCCTAGATGTCACAATTTTAATTTTTAACAGTCGAATTTTGCTATAGGTACTTCTCTGTACCTAATAATAATAATAATAATAATAAAACTTAAAAATATTTAGATTTAAATTTATTATTTATTATTAACTGTAAATTTATACTAGTTCTCTATGTCACTTTAACTAACCCAAGTTCAAAATGTTCAATAACTTAACAACCTTTGCCAAACAAGAATCACAGGTATCAAATCCTCTTAATAATTACGAATTGTCGGATTTATAGTAATTTAACGGCATCGATGGAGGCGAGCACTCCACAACTTCCTATTGGTATCGTGTGTGTAGTATAATATATTATTAAAATGGTTCACAAGTGTTTACATTTCCACAGGTAGATATTTTTCAGTTTTCAATTAAATCAATTAAACGTCGCTCGACAAAAACCGGACTAGGTTTCGAAACGCTATTAGTTTTTACAGAATCTAATAATAGCCTGATAAAAAACCATCAGGTTTTTTAAAATGTAAATTTGTTCGTAATGATATTAGAACATAGTAGTTTGATGGTTGGTGTTTTTTTTTTAAATTTCACTGAATTGAACGAATGTGAAGTAAGATAATATTGTATAATATGGTTTATGCGTTAGGAATCTACGAAGGGAGAAAATGGAATAATTGACAATAAATAATAATAACTAATGCATTTAATAATAAGTATTATAAATATTGAAATAAAGTTTGATGATGTTTTAGTATTCACTGATTGTATTAGTCTACTCAGAACGTAATAAATAATGATAGGTAAAAGAAGAAACAGAAAAAAAACTTAATAAAAAAAAAAAAAAAATAGCTCTAACATGAACTAATGTATTATATCACATCTCATAAAATGTTAGCAACGGGACTTATCAAGAAAATGTGATTCATTTAAACATCATGGTGAATATAGTTTTCTATGAAGTACTGATGACTGAGTGAAATCGAAATTTATAAATTGTTTGAAACATTGTATGGCTTTTTATTTCTCTCTGTCAACAAACCGTCAATGTAATAACTCAATTTTATATTGTGATTTCGAGCGCTGTCGGAAACGTTTCTCGAATATTATACATTTGATATGTTTTGTGTGTCTACAATTATTATTAACCTGTTAATACAAAGCCGAAACAATGGAACATTCAAGTTGTGTGTTATTATTATTAATATTAATAAATCAATGTGGTCTTCGTTACTCGACGGAGACGCGTGCTTGTTACGAAATACACTGACTAAACTACAATGTGATAGTTATTATGTGTTTATGTGTTAAGTTACTGTCCAATTGGTGTCAATATTTTGTAATTTTTGTGTATTTATACTCATTACGCAATAGAGAAAAATGTGTCAAAATACACCGTGACATTTTTGTCGCGAAAATATAATTTCAATCATTTTCGTGGTTGAAACGACGTTGACCCTCACCACCGTATAATATTAGACTGTGTTGGCGATGATTAAAGTAAAATTGTATAATAATATGATAAAAATATCTTTATTGTAAGCAATAAACATGTGGATGTATATGGAGATAATCCGACGGAGAAGGAGTAGGAAAAAGAGGAAGGCGAATAGGTACTGATTATTATTATAATGCATATATTTACACTCTCGCACGCACATGGACAATACTGTATTATTATCTAACCTTATTATAAAAACGATTTAGGTGCGTTTAGAGAAACTTCGTGTCGTGTAGTGTAGCGGTGATGATGTCCTAACCTCCACCATAGTTTATTATAATAATAATAGGACGGCACTGATTCGTTAACGATTGTTTTTCGTGTTGGATATAATAATAGTTACGTATAATACGTAGGTAGGTATATCGTGAAAATCATTACTTGGGTAATTCTATAGCCGCATAGGGATCGTATGACCTAAAATATGCGGGATGACCAAGTCATGCGTGATAATCGATCAAAATTTATAAGATGAACAAATAAAGTTTAATTCATTGGTATTCAAGATGATATCTAGGGGGGAAGAAGAACAAGGGACGATGACCAAGTATCCTGTAGAACACACGCATCATGCGCACTGCGTATGCTACCGTATAGTTACACGATGACGGAGGCAGCTATTATAAATATCGACTTTATTATAATAACAGTAAAAGCATAAATGTATAATAATATATTAGTCACGTGGAACTAATGATATATTTAAATAATTATTATAATAAATAATAATGAAACGACACCAATTCGTTAACGATTGTTTTTCGTGTTGAATGTAATAATAACCACGGATAACACGTAGGTGTATTGCGCAAATTATTACTATAGTAATTTTATAGTTGCACATGGATCGTATAACCTAAAATGTGCGAGATGACTTTGTTCTACGTAAAATCGATCAAATATCAGATGAACAAATAATGTTAATTTCATTGTTATTTAAAATGATATTTTGGGAGGGGAGAGGTAAGTACCAAGTATCCTGCAGGACACACGCAGCATGCGCACCACGTATATTACCATATAGTTACATGATGATATAGGTCGCTAATAATACCAACATTGTTGTAGTAACTATAAAAGCATAAATGTATATATCAATTTCGCAGAACTAAAGATATATTCAAATAATAATAATCATTATAAAAAATAATAAAAAAATGTATTCCTTTCCATTTTTTTGTTTCCTCAGCAAGCCCATTTGAAACTGACATTTAAAATATCGTTAGCACAATACACGTAAATGGTGATACGTTTTGTTGGTTGCTGTAATTCCAATATAGTTGTCGTTTTCAAGTCTTAGATTGATGTGGGTACGACAAAAAATGTTTAAGGATCATTGATAATTTTGAAGATAAGAACATTGTATTACATTATATCTTAACGTTTGATTATATTAATTTGTTTCCTATAAATATTTATGACGTAAGTATACTTAATACTTATGCCTTCTGGGAAGTACAGGAACCAATTTAACCAACCTTTATGGTTGTGTTAAGATAAAATTTAGACAACGAAACACCCTTCTTATAGTGTTGTAAATTCCTAATTATATTACCGTTCAAGATCACGTACCGTCATCAGGTTGATCAATTCAATTTAAAGACGTAATGTTTTTATCAAGATTATAGGCGGACCGAACTTTACGCGATCGTTTACATACAATTTTCTCGTTTGTTGAACAATTCGCACACGTAGTATTACGTAGTAGCGATTATTTTAAATTAAAGTTCTTCGTTTTGAAATTAATTCAAACCAATTTTAAAGAACCATCACAAGACAGTTCATTAATTTCCAACTAATACGCGTTAACATAAATTAAATATTTAAATATATTTTTTTAACCGTTGGTGTTAACTGACTACTGTGAATCTTTATAGTGTTTAAACTACATTTACATCTTGTTTATCCTTGTAGTTTAGTATGTTATGTATATTTGAAAAATTCGATTTTTGTCATTACTATTTGTTCTTTCAATATGGAATTACTGGACTCAATTATTTACGTGTGAGAAAAATAAA